ATCAAAAGTGTTTTCCTATGCTCTTTGCTAAAATGACCTTTAAGTCGAGGAGACAGAGGTCGAAGCTAATCAAATTACTGCTAGCAAATCGATTCAAATATTCTTCAAACGGATATGCGGAAATGGGGCACCGAGTGTTTTAAAATTTAAAGCGCAATAAGCAATTTTATCTCATCTACTGCAGGAAGAATCCTGCATTTCAAAATTAGACCGCAAATGAACCAGACTGTGTCAAATTACACCTGCAGTTAGTTTAGCCTAAGCTACTATATATAAGCTTAGATGTTTCGTTTGATCACCAGAGCACCTAACGGCGAATAAATGTTTAATGAAGAACACTAAAGTGAAGTCCACGTGACGCCTGTCTGGGAGTTATTTTTTAAAAGTTATTGCCTGGTGTCTTCTTGCCATACATAACTGAGGCCCCTAACAATAGCTTTACATATGCTGTTAATTGAAAACACTTATAAATAGCGCGTATTCTGGTCTATTTGGTTGGTTCAGTTCTCGTGACGTCATTACGTAAGTACGCAAATATTTTCGCGACAAAATGTCACCACTGCCATTCAGAGGGCCAGGAGATAGGTTTGCAAAATCGGAACAGCGATTTGGATGGTCCGTGAGTGCTTGGATGAACGTCTACGCTTTTGTGTGCAACTTAAAAGGCTAGCCCTTAGCGCTAGCACAGTGCAACCCCCCTCATTTGCCTCACAGGAAAAAAAGCGTTTGAACGAGAATTCGCAGTTTTTTGTGTGAGACCAGTGGCCTTCACGGCGCTAACATTTAACTGTAAACAGCCTGGCTATCAGCAACTGAAGCGCTATTTGTTCTCCCCTAATGTCGAACCCAACAGTGGTACAAAGCTCAGGTTGGTTGGCCAGGGGAAACAGAAATGCGAGCAGGTCAAAACTCGATCTTGACCAGAACCCGCCCTGACATGCGGGAATAAACGTGATTTGTCCAAAACCCCTGCTAGTTTGTAAACAAGAGCGTATTTATGAAGGCAAAACGCGTCCTGCTAATTTTTTCACTTGGGCAACATCTTTCTCAAACACGGCCTTATTTTCAACAATTACATCGAATTCCCTGGTGGCTACTAGTTGATGAGCGACGGCGATTTTAATTTTCCATTTTGAAATAAAACATCCAATTGAAAAGAAAGATTTTGATTGACAGGAATTTCGGTTTTTCAGTCAGCAAAATTGGTTGTCACCTGGGTAAAACTTGACTACCCGATGCGATCAGATGGCGTTATTTGATTCCGCCTTTAGTGCTGACATATTCGAATAAAAATCTCCGGTTTTTTAGGATTGAATTGGGGGAGCAGTAGTGCCACAATCCCAGCGGACATTTTTACGAATAACTTAACCAACGCACGAATAAATTTAGTCAGCTTTTGATAAAAATACGAGTACTTAACAAGGTTACGTCATGTCAGGTTTTTGCTAACTTAGCCTATGACTGCCGCATCAAAAATCCTCTTGTTAAGGGCATGCTAACCAAGACAGAGGTAAAGCCAAAAATGTTGTCAGCAGTGCCAACTTTGCACTCTTTTTTGAGTTCACTTAAAGTGAGTTTTCATCTGAATTTGGAGTATTTTCTCGGACTCTTTTTGTCTGAGTTCATTAAAACTGATTAACCGACTCTAGGGGAATGTTAGTTAGCACTATTGTTAAAAAACATCTGACACATGCTTTTAGTGGGTGCAATCACTCGACAGTTAAAATGACGTGTCATGATCACATAAATATGAAAAAAAAGGTGTGGTTGATTACTGACTATTTCATTGGCTAACGTAAAAGTACATCTACTAGCCTTGAAGTCAAGTCGTTTTCGAGCATTTATTTCTTTCTGCCCATAAATTGACAAAACGAAATTTTTTAAACGTTGGACACTATAAAAACTGCAGTGCTGTACCACATCTAAAGGAGCCTAATCGTTGACAATATATGCATTATTAAAAAAAGATGTATTAGTGCAAAAAACGATTAAAAAAGCGTTTGTTTTAATGGATTGTGGGGCATGTTTGGGGATCTCGCAATAAAAGGAGTTTATTTTCAGACCAAAACCACTCAAATTAAACCAAAATAACATCACGTAGAAAAAGAAATTAAATTTGTCAACTTCCAAAACACTTCAGTACGTTTTGCGGTCCAACATTGCTTGTGAGTATAAACAAATTTCAACTAAAACGCCGACTGCAGCCTAAACACATGGAACAAATTAAAGAAAGGAGAGTAAAAACACTCGTTTCACACTTTCACGTGAAGAGACACACGCGTTTCGATTATCGTGTGGTTAGGGGAACTGTGTATTCAATGACGAGACCCCAATCCGCGATGAGCCGTCTAGGGGAATGCTGGATCCCCAACACGTGTCAACACAAGTCTGGCTGGCTCAAGACGCTTTGACCCATTTTTAGATCGTAGAGTTGAGCAGAAATTTGATGAATTATAAAATTCTGTCTTTTTTTAGTGTGCAAATTGACACAGAAAGAGTTGGATATTATTTTTTAAACAAAACTTAACCAAAACTAGGAAATGAACTTCACGGTTAAAGTTGTCCCATGTCTTTCTTCTATCACTTGAATTACTTTTCGGCAAAGGTGCTAAACATTTAAGGAATGCAGCAACGTAATACGAAATTTAACCAATCGATTAGGAGGTGTGGCACATCGGTTCACACATCAGACTCCAGAAGACCACTTACAGTGAGATGAAAAACACAACTAAGTTATGTTGTGACTTCTGAGTTAAACCGATGTAGTTTGACAAAGAGGAAGGCCGACAATCCCAGTCAGAGCAACAGGGAATGTGCTTTAATCACATTGTCCTGCCTCAATGTTGACGTTTCCTTTTAAAATCATGTCGAACTTAAACCACAAATGAATGCAGCACAATACAGCACACCTAATTTTCCGTAATGTACACCCCATCGTTTTCCACCACAATCCCTCTACGTCATCTTTTTGCAAACTGTTTGGTTTCTCTTCTTGTGAATTTTTTCCATAGGATCAAGTTCAAGAATCTAAACTGTACTGTAAGGCAGGAAAAAGAGCAAAATCCCCGAAGTAAATGAATACGGCGCGACCTGCCTGACGACGTCCATTCGAACACTTACTTTTATGTAGCAGTGTCTGTTGACACGTGGTCCGGCAGAATAGACTAGATTTGCACCGTTATGGCAGATTTCGGCTCTGGGTTAGACGAGTTCCTCACAGCACTACCTCGCAATTTTGTACAGTCAAATGGAAACGGCTTGTGAGACAGGATTCTCCCGTGATTCGCCCACCAAACGCAGAACAAAACTTTCAGTGAATCGGAAACTTTAGGCGTTGCCATGGATTTCGCGCCTTCATTTCCACATCAATTACTTTTTATCAATGAACAATTTGTCATCATTCTCACTTATGACCGGGTCCACGAAAGATCCATTTTGCTTATGACTGAGAAGCGAAATTGCTGTTGAATCGGGGTTAAGATTTCCCTGTTTAGTTGGAATTCGCCGAACTCGTGTGTTGAATTTCAAATCTTATCCAAGTTGTCATAAATGTCAAAACGCAGTCGAAGCGTCAGCCGTTAGTCTCTTTCGTAATCACTTTATAAAAATCCAATGAATTACTATTATAGCCAGCGTTTGGAGGTGGCCTAGAAAGACGTTTTTGTTGTGGTTGAAGCCCCTACTTTAAAATGGACAACGCCAACATTGCATATTCCGTTTTTAGCCTTAAAAATTGGACACAAATCGATTTGTATAAGCTTTGTTATGTGTTATGTCGACTCACGAAGCACTGGGGTTACGGCCAAGTTATAGCAAGACTATAAAAGAAGCATCAACACAGTCAAACGCGCACCTACGACAATCAGGCATGAGATTTTACAATCACCCAATACTAGTTATGGCAAAACAAACAACTGTGAAATCATTCTCCTTGCAAAACGCATGCCAAGGGATTTTACTTATGTAACTCGCAGTGACCAAAATAAGCATAATTTTGACCGGCTACACCGCTTGAAGTCGACGGCGTGCCCTCTTTTGTCAGAACGACGTGAATCCACAATCTCACGTTAGATTTTGAGCAGGAAGAACCAAACCGACATGTAGATGATCTTGCTGCTTCGGCCTACGGTCGTTTGCAGACGCCTTAATTGACTTAGTGCTTAAAATGACCAAGACAAAGAAGGAGACTTATACAAAAAAAATTATATCGTTACGCTGAATGGTTTGCCTTTGTTACTTCGCCTTCAGCTGAGCGTGACAAGATTATGAGGGTGTGAACTTTGGAAAAAAACAGCAGCCTATTTTGACTAAGTACTTTCAGAGTTTGAAAAGCCAATTGCGCTGAAGCTGCGAGATGACTACTAACTACTAAGAGGTGAGAGGGCTTTCGTTAAACCGCACGCCTTAAACTACTTTGCAATTACTGCTACAGATAACATCTACATACTTGGGCCATATAGGGAAAAACGATCATTCACAAAATCCGCATTAATTGAAGAAAAGAACAGTGGGTTTGCACAACGGCAATGAAACTTCGGGCACCAAAATTCCGATGATTTAGATGCGGTACGATTAATTAAAAATCGATTAAAATATAAAAAGTTTATTGTATTTTTTTGGTATTTAAAAGTAAACCAATGGAAAGGTTATATTTGAATCGCAGAATTTTTTGTAAAAAAAGAAAATGTACATGATTAGAGTCGCATTTATCTTCGAAAATCCGAAAACGAATTAAGTGAGAGCTTTGGAATGCATTCGGCAGGTAAGGCATCTTTGCTTTTGGTAGCCTCTACACTAATTCAAGAAACCAATTTCAGCGAAAGCGAGAAGATTAGTGTGCAAGCACTTAACGGGTCTTCTTCAAGTTGTCAGCAGTGTGCATCTCAAGATCAAAATGGTCAAGTTCATTAAACATTCACCGTTTTTCAATTGGCTATGCACAGTTCTAGAAATACCGATGCTTGTGGGATGGACCAGTTAATAGACATCTTAAAATAGATTTAACCGTGGTATTTATCGCCCCAATATAAGCCTACCTTAAATTTACAAAATAGCGCATTTTTTGACTCGCCTTTGTGAATTCCAGTGAGTTTATCCCTCAAAACTAGGATGTCTGAAATGGGACCGAATTCTTCAAAAATAGGCCGAATATCGACCTCATTCATGAAGCGCGGTATCTGCCCAATGAACAGCTTGAGAGCATTCAAGTTCCGATGGTGGCTGTTTGTGAGGTTGTTTGCATCGAAAGCGGCAGCGTTGGTCGATGGCGCCACGGAAGACGACACCGAAGACGAGGAGGCGGAATCTGAGGTAAATCCGTTTCTCTGCGAAGAACAGGTGGATGGAGAGATCTCGCGGTGGGACCGTTCTGAGTTTGATTCCTCGTGCATATCTACTCCACTGTCCATTGGACACCAATATTGCTGTCCTGTTTTGTGCCTGTGTGCTGCCGCTAATACCTTCGTCCGTTTGGGGGGGCGTGATTTAGCGCGCTCGATCAATGTCAACTGTTTGCTTTCCCCACGATTCTCATTGGTGGAATGCTTTGAGTAAAACTCACCTAAGACGCGAATGTGTGCGCACGCGTATGAACACATGTCCAGCTACATAAAATTAAAGCGGAAATTACATGGACGCTTTCGCGCTTATGGATATTTAGAGTAACAACAAGTGGCTCAGTATTTACATCACCCCATGATTTTTTGCTAGGATAATCTGCCTAGATTTACCTTTACATTGCATGGGCTATTAACTTAATTGTGAAACTGTGGACTTGGCAGAAGAGGGTTTAAGAAGTAAAAAAACACCGCATTAGTTTTCACGTCGGAAAAATAAACCTTTTGACGCATGATTTACATCACGAGTTCTATCACAAGAACTCACAAAGGCGCAATTTATAGTGGCTAAATCCACAAAAATGTTTAAGAGCTGATGTCAGCTATGTGCAAAAGAATTCACATTTGAGTCTTCAAAATCCACCAGTTTATTATATTTGCGACGGGATTTTTGATTTTCTAGCAATAAGACAAGGGAATTGCTAGAAAATCGAACACCAATAACTCGACTTAACTGACAGGTACTCAGGTGTTGACAAAATTTATATAAATGCATTAACTTCGTAAGTTTTGAGTTCATTTTGCACATGAAAAAAAAATTTATAGATTGCCTGGGGTTTGACACGAACCTGCCCAAAAATCACCAAAATGTTGACTTGATAAATTAGCACTGATTTCAATCATTGACGTTTAGGCCAGTCATTTAGAATTTCCGTAGGTGCTAAGTGGTAAAATTTTAAAATATTCATTTTGATAAAAATGGCGAATATATTTTTTTTATGAAAACAAGATAAATTAAAGCAAATAAATTATTTTGACTCTGTCTAACTATCAGCCCTTAGGAGTGAATTAAGCACAAGGCATTATAAATGTTGCTGATTGAGGTGCCCTGTAGTTGAAGAAATTTACATTGAAGTTAAACCGATATCAGAAGTTGTTGATTTCTCATGGTGGAATATTTTTTGCTGGTTCATGCAGTTAAAGCCTACTAAAGTTTTCAATTCAGCATTGAAGTAGTTTGAGGTATACCAGACTGTATTTTAACAATCTTTTTTAATCCAACATCAAATTAAGCAGTGTTGGACTGTCTGCTAGCATTAATAAGATGGGAGCAGAAGTAGACTTAAGGACACTAATTGTTTAATTTGCATACACGATTTCGCGCGATTCCATGACATGACACAAATGGGACGTAGCTACTAAGTCCCATGTATACCTTAGGACGAGGACGATACCATTGCAAATTAAGCTCTATTTCGTAGGATCAAAACGCGGAATTTCTAGGGATCGCCTGGGAAGGTTCACTACGGCACAAGTTTTTGTTTAAATTCGAGTAAATTTGGCAGCCATTTAAATATGCCATCTCAGCGCAAGTTTTAGACTAACAGATGTGGGAGTCTGTTTGATGACCAGCCATTTAGTCAAATGACAACAAAAGCGTAGGCGGTAGCGTCTCACCGAGTTAGTGTTTTTTGGTATCCATCTCTATCAAAAATCAGAATGCATTTGCAATTAAGACTGATGCGCCTAACTTACCTGCAATTGCCGCCTTATGCTTTCTTAAGCTTGATAAGTGTTACTTCTTTTAAAATCATACACTGCGTGTGTAGAATGGCTTCCAAACATTTCTAATGATACGTAACATAAGAAAACATTTGCTTAACCGAATGTCAAAATATTTTGTTTTTTTTGTAAGCTGCAGATTAACTATAACTTTAATCACTGAACTGGCTGTCGCGCCTCATTTTGTGCTCTTGTCACAAACTGACAGATCCATCAGCAGTGTTTTTGATTTTATCAAAAGGTGAATTGTTGATGATTCAGGTAAATGTATTAATAGCTCTTTTCAATGTTGTGTGTTTCTCTAGAAATTTGGCCAATTCAGTAATTCAAATAATTTAACCCTTTTAACTAGGCTCAGCACGAGTTACTGGCATATCAAACCTTCAGTCAATAAACAACAGCAATGCCTATGATACCGCGTAAACTTATTGTCACTGTTGACTGTTCATTCTACAGGGCCAAAAAAAGCAAATTCGTAAAGTTAAATTATCTTATTGCTTAGCAAAAATAGGGGTTTGTTACTCATGTGGTCGTAGATATTGGATACAAAGCCACCTGACTAGGGGCTAACTAGTTAAGTTTGGCAAATACCTTTGAACTTATGTGGGAGGGGGTGGCTGAAAGTCGGTTTGGAATTGATCTGTTCAGTAAAAGATCGACTAGTTATGTTCCGTAATAAACTAACAAGTCGTACTTTGGTTTTTTAGACAAAAAGACACGGATCACACAGAAGCGAGTTTAGTGAAGAAGAATACTTAAAAACTTTGTAAATTTGGAACCAGTCATAGTCACTCACAACAAATCAGCTTCAAAGGTAGGATCGAATTACATTTTAAATTAACCAATCAAAAAATCAGGGCCACAAGGCAACAACTCCACCGCCTAAACGCTTCGGTTATCAATTAATCATTAGGAATTTTGTTAAGGAGATGGCATTTTGAGGCGCAACAGATGGCCCAATTTCTACTTCACACGGTCGTAAAGCTTCTTTTAGTCCAGATTTTCCGTTTCTGTATCGGTGACAAATATTAAATAAGAGGATTATCAGACATCGAGGTGGAATGAAATTAAACAACAACTTAGAGAGATTAGTGCCTTCGTCGTGGAGATTGGGAGGCTTCGAGTTGGCTTTTCGGAGAAGCAAAGATCGCCAGAATGCCTTTCAACTAAGCCGAATTTTAATTAACCGGCTAATTTGCCTCATGGGTGTGTGATTAAAATTGTGTGAGTTGACGAGCTAGCTTATAAGTTATGCCCACTGTTCGATACATTTAGTCACACCGTGACCCTCAAGGGCAATTCTCCTCAAGTTGAACTGCAAATCCAACCAGCTGATCAATTGTTTCTATCCGGTGCCCAAATCAGCACATGATCTTACAAGTGTAGAGTGTCATAAAAGAAAAGGCACTAACAGTGTCGGATGGTTTGTAGTTTCCTCGGAATCAAAAAGAGCAAATCTCACCGCCCCATAAAAGAGAAGACGAAAAACAAGTTAGTAATTTAGAAAAAAAAGTATGAGAAGCAGCATTGATCGATCTTCAGCCAAGTACTTTAACCCATAATTTGGAGTTCCCCTCAAGCACACTGGGTAGAACTTAAAACAAGATAAAAATTACCTTACACAGTTTGGCTCCTAAATTGATTGGTAGTTTTGTTAGTAAACTTGATTGGATGGTGCGAAAGCAATGTCCACACATAAGATGTTAATGTAAAATAAAGAATGCCCTAATCAGTGTGAACCAGTTAATGTTGTACACAAAACTGCAATCAGAGGAAGATTGCAATGAAAATTACACAGCATGTTTGTAATTGTGACCTTAACACCACTTTTTTGCATCAACCTGATATTGTTTGTTGCGAACTAAAAGTCGATTTCGCTAAAACCCAATTTAACGCCGCGAAAATCGGCTGTCAAATGCAACCTCGCACAATCAAGCCGAGGCCAGAATTCACAAAGACAGCAGAACACGTGTCATCATTTGAGCGATATTTTAAAGCGCACTACTTAACCCCACCAACATAGCAGCGGAAGTGTGCAATTTTCTCAAATGTGAGCGCGACTTCCAATTTTTTACGATTAAAACACACGCTGCAATTATTCTAAACACCCGCCATCAGTCTGTTATGAAAGACACCAATCGCCTTAAATGACATGGACACACTGCAAGATTGATAGCTTGTATGGTAAAATTGGTAATACCCACTGGGTAGTTTTACTAGGCACGCAAAAAATGATTAATTAAAGCACGCATTAAAACGAAACAAAACATGCGTAAAGAAAGGCTGAAGTCGTGGTGGCAATATCTGTCCAGTCTTTGCCATAATTTGCAGATTTTGTCGTTTGAAAGAGCCTATTTTCTTACCACGATGGTGTTTGTTCTAAAATTCATTAAATTTATCACACTTTACTTCTCATTAAAAATTTATTCAGCAAAGAGTGAACAAAATAAATGCTAAAATTAAAAAAACCGTGCAGGATGGTGGGGAGTCACTGACAGTGTGAAAAGTGGTAATCTCCGAATAAGCGGAAGAAGGGGGCTGTTCTATGCTACACACCAAAATCAGAGTACTCCATTTGGTTACGGTTCAATCTAGTTGTGTGCGTGCGGCAGTCTTGCTTGTCTAAGACACTTCAGACGAACCGGTTATCATGCGGTTTGTTGTGGGCCCCAGCATGTGTTCTTGAACCACGCCGGGGCCACGGAATTAACCCTGGCCCGATTACGCTTCCCTGATACCCGCGATGAAGAAAAAGATCGGAGAGGACGTGGACACAACCGCTTACTTCAGAACTCAACCTCGTTGGTGTCGCTGTGTCGTGTGTGGGGTTTGAGCGTATGTATTTATACCTCGAATGTGTGAGTCTTACATGCGCTAACATCGAGGCTTAGCAGTGAGGATGATCCAGGATAAATATTTGTGCTAATGAAGGAGGAGTTGAGGATCCGCGTGGCTGGCGGCATGCTGCGAAAAGGGGAACCCAGCGTCGGAGGTGAAGCGATGGGATTAAGGGGTTGAATAAACACGATTCACAGCAGGTTAGTGGACGTGAATCAACACGATAAACTACAAGCACTTTCCAACAAAAATCCATTCTCTTGCGGTTTGACACTTTGTATTGGTTGCGGACTTAATTAATTTTACGGCCTTAATTTAAGTTATTCGTAATTTTCACGCAAATCACGTGTCGATGGTTATCATTGTCAATGGAGGATAGTGTATTACTCAAGCATCTGGAATAATGGAAGCCAATCATCGTCATTCCATCGATTAATGTGGTGGTCAGACTT